GGCTTGGCTTGGCTATTATAACAAAGGATCGGCTCTGTTTATCATAACAAAGGCCCGGCTTCGTTTATTTGAAGGACTCGGCGGGGAAAGGGTGTCAGGTATTTTAATCAAAGGTGAACTTTGTCGAAAACGCTCCAAATTTCGTATGCAGTTTCGTTCAGGTATGTTAAGCAATGTCCCGTAGTTTTCGTGCTAAAGTTCGCTTCGTTCTCCAGATATTGCGTATGCAATAAACCACTCGGTTTTTCCAACCTGTATGCCTTTTTTGCATACGTTATTTCTCGAGAACGAAAAGCAACCCAGCGAAAAAAACTTCAGAGCAATGTTTCTCAGGTGAAACGAAGCCCACATGCCAAAATTCAGCTAGTTTTAAGCCCTTTCAAAAATGGCTGAAAAATCTAGGGGACGTTCTTGCACGCGGGCTTTCAATTATGTTCCAGAATCTTATTCGATAGTACAGTAGATTCTTCACTCAGCTTGGAAAGTACTATTGTGTAGTAAGTCCACGTCAGCCTTCAGCTGCCATTCTCTTAATAACCATCTTATCAATGAATGGATATGTTTATGAACCTGCATGGGTGGATTTACACGGTAGACACAGTTCTTAAGACTGGTGTGAAATTGTACTAGACAGTGTAACATTACTGAGTTTCTTTTCATTAAGGGCTTTTATTATATGGCTGTCTCTGTGAGCGGGCAAGATTAATCAAATCCTGCACTGTGATTGGCTACCCAAGTTGGTGTTATCTGGCCCACTTGGGGCTACCCGCTGTGTCCCACAATAAAAAATTCCCTGAAAGCCATATAATAAATCATTTATTGACCAAGCTTGTTGGTCAAGATGGCTGGATATTGACCTCATTTGTTTTGGCGAGTTTATGGACCTTGACTCTGTCTCAGTCCATAAACATGTAAAAAAAGAACTTGGCCAATGTCCAGCCATCTTGACAGGTCTCAGGCTTGGTCAATAACCCATTTATATAAAACATCTTGTTTCAGCATGGTAGATGTATTTTACTTGGATTATGGACAGCCAGAGTGTGTTACATTGGACAGACTTTGTAATTCCACTCCTGGTGACATTGCCTCTCGCCCAGCATTGGCACGATACATTACACTGGAAGGTGTCAAACCTGTAAGTGTATGATGTAATTTTAGTAGCAAGCTAAAAATTCACCTTTTTTGGTAAATTTATTGATAAAACAAATATCAAAATGGGTTAGGTTAGAAATATAACCCAAAATGTCCATTGTAAATTACAGGTATGTGTTATTATGTAATTTAAAGGTGAGTACTGCTAAGTAGCTCTTAAATTGGTGCATTTCTTCAGATTATATAAGCCACAGCAATATCTACATTATAGAGCTTCAGTTTCTCCATGTCTTGGACTCATGGTATCTAGTATGGCAATTCCTGATCTGACCAATACTTTTCAAAGTGTAAAATCCACAGGGATGAATTAAGACAAAGGAACAAGTTGTATCAGTATTTTAAAAACTGAAGTATTCTGCTGAATGTCCTTCATGTGACTTTTTTTATGTTCTATTTATAAATCCAGATTGGTGAGAGATGGTCAGAGGAGGCTAATAACAGATTCAGTGAGCTTGTTTCTAGCAAACTTGCAATTCATTTTTCAGACACCTTTAGAGGAAAACTTTATCTAAGGTTAGTTTACACTAATTTATGAGGTAATAAGCTATTAAAGTAGCTTGCTTTTGACAATAAATGTTTTATAGTGGAACCCTACCTTACAGTCACCTCATTATTACAGTTGCCACTTTACTTTGTCCTGGCGAGACATCCATGCATTTTCTTAGAAACTTCAATCCAACTGCCAAATTTTAGAATCCCAACTTGTATAATTCTTTACAATTTGACCCCGTAATGCAGTCGCTCAAACCAAATATGCATTCTTAACTGACCAAATAATAATTGATCTTTGTTTTGAAAAGGAACGGATTTGTATAGTCAAACCTGTTCTTGTTTAATTTTATTGAATCCAGTTATACCAATCTTTCCATAATAATATATTATGTATTGATTGAAGTTTCAATTTATTAAAATAATGTCTGCATCCTGCATGCTTTTTAAAATTAGTTGTTTCCATATGCAATTGTGACATTTATCAAGATGTCAATACAATAGACCAGTCATGAAGTTTTACCCTAATACAGCCACCCCATTGATATGGCCAAATCTTCATGGCCTGTGGGTGTCCATATTAAAAGGCTTTCCATTGTAGTTGAATTATAACAGTAGGAAATAATCTTAAATTAATGATCTCCAATTTAAAAATTTATTGGTAAATATGAAATGAGTGGTCCTTTGAATCTTGCAACTGTGTATATAGTGCACTCATCAGTTTTTCAACAGTTTTGAATTTTTCAAAGTTACATAATGGTGGATGCCCTTCCTTTGGATTCCTTGGGAATATAATTAAGCAATAGAGCACATTTTCCATGTTTACATAGCCTCATCTAAACACAAGGAGGCTTGGGAGAATTCAAGACAATTATGCAAACCCTCGACTACATGTATGTCTCTGGTCTGCATAACTTGCAAGAATTCTCCCAGCCCCCTGAGTGTAGTTTGTAAGTAGAATTGTAGTAATTTCTATTATACAGTACTGCAAATGGTACAGATCAGTATTACATGTAAATAGGAGATCAGATCATTTCCCCTGAGAGATAGAAATAATTAATAATACTTTTCATTTCAATGTAGAAATAGCATTGGACACGAAGTTTCAGTGGGTGATATGCTTATCTCTGAAGGCTTTGCCCAGGTACAGTAGATGTATATGTATATATCTGCCATTATTTGCATTAGAAAAGTGTACTGTGTTTTACATATCAAATCTTTTTTATAGTGTAAATATTTAGCTGATGAACACTGTTTAATTATTATTATTAATAATAATGATAATAATAATAATAATAATACTTTTTGAATAATTATATGTTATTTGCTGGCTGGGAGTTGGTCTGTATTGGGAAAAGCTGTGCCCTGAATATGACAGACTAAGGGCCATACTTAAGACTGAGGGCACAGTTCAGGGCTGTCATTAAGTTTTGAGTCACCAGTAGCCTCATTCTCCACATGCATAGCAAACTTGTTACTTTGTGGTTGAATTCTGTCAACAACAGGCAATTTCACCCTTAGCATCAAGGGACCCTGTGTTGAATGTTGACATTTTATGTTGTTTTAAGGTGTAACAAAAAGGCTGAAACGTTGCTAAAGTTGGAGATTTCAGAGCGGTCCATACTTGGGGTCCAGATGGGAAAATCCAGACCGTTAGAGCAAGTGCAATTAGTCAATCAGATTCAAGGATTTAGGATTCTGGACCACTGAGAAGCCGGAGAAAAAAATATTATGCACAATAAAATACACAATAAAATATGTGTATTCCTGAAATACTTACGGTATTATAATTATCATTATACTCTGCCACTTTCATCAATTTAGAGTTCTGACAGTGATGTTGGTAGAGGACCATGGACACAGGAGAACACAAGGTTTAAAACACTTTTTTGAGTCATTGTATGTAATAAGTATCTTTATCTTGTTTGACTTGTATTTTTATCTTGTTTGACTTGTCAGTCAATTCAAGTTAAAGATATTGCTACATTTTGCGACAAAGATTGTTACAATTCAGGTTAATGTTACATTTTACTTCACAAGTTGTTACATTTCGTGTCTATGTTACATTTAGCATTAGATGTTACATTTGCAGCATAACATGCAGGTCAGGTCAAACTTGATTGAGTCTTGAGGGACACAGGTACATATATGCGATCTTTTATTAACAATGGATTGCCAAAGAATAATTTTCATTTTATGTGTAATTTAACAGAGCATTGAATTCTGAACAGCAAAAGAGGTTATATCAACAATGGAACTCACTAATGTTTCAACCATCAGCATCACAACAGCCATCTTCAAAAACAAGTGATCACTTCAGTGCTGAAAGAAACACACTGACTAGCTCACCCTTCTCAAAAGAGCCATTTAATTCCAATGCTATTACATTCAGGAAAATGCTTAGTCCTCCACAAATGTATGACAGTGAATCAAAGCAAGATATGAGTGGGATTTCCTTGAATGACATACCTCTGCCTCCCAAGCCAGACTTTCTTATGCAGAACAAGGAAAGTAACAATCTTGAGACTTTTAATATCAAGAGAACTGACCCAGATCCAGTTCAATCGCTGCGTTCTGGAAGGCCTCATCTGGCTAGTCCAAGCGAGTTCTTCAGTCAGTCTAGGCCAGGACAAGATTCAGGACTTTCAAATGGTCAGCTTTAATTTCCAGCAGTCATGATTTTACAATACCATGATATAAATTACTCTAGGAAGTAGGGTAGTTGATGGTCATATCTTTGTGTTCTTATAGACTACCTCTTTCCACCAAGGTGTATAAATACCTACTGGAAAATTAAATACTGGGGTGGGGGGGTTAACCCAGTGATAGAGTAGCATCCTATCCAGGGGAGGTAGAAATACATGTACTGTACTTCTAGTTGCTTTATGTTACAGAAGGTAGAGTTCTACAGAAGACACCAGCCTGATCACCACCACCTACTTACTTTATTTATCTACCCTCCAGCTACCCATTTACTTATCCTAACGAACTCACCTAACTAGTAACAAAATTTATTGAACTTCATATTTCATGATTATTGTTCAGCATAAATTTTCTACAAAACCACTTAAAAGAGTAGAGAGATGTGGTTGCCTCATGGTTAGTGTGCTCATCCCTGGATCAAATGGTCCAGGTTTTGAGCCCTTGCTGGGAACATTGTGTTGTGTTCTGGGGCAAGACACTTTACCAGCACTCTCACAGTGTCTCTCTCCACCTAGATGTATAAATGGGTACCAGTGAATTAAATGCTGGTGGGTAATCCTGTGATGGGCTTGCATTCCATCTAGTGGGGAGTAGAAAATTCTTAGTCACTTCGTGCTACAGAAACTGAGATAAGCTGTGGCCTGACACGCCACATGGCTCAAAAACAGACTTTACCTACTTGAAAGTATACCCCAATCGTTAGTCAAAATTCATTACACTCATCAACACAATATGTACAGTAGATGTATGTAGTATCCCACTTATCCCTCTTCATCTCCATGGTTTTAGAAATCAAAGTTTTGAATCCAAGTTATTGTTGACTCCCTCCAGTCAAGAAACAATAACTGTAACAAAGTTTGAAGAAACTGAGTTGTTAGTTTGTTCACACTTTGCTGCATATGTTGTTATCAGTAAAGCGAGGAAGCCTATTTGGCCTTTGAATCTAGAAACTCTAAAAAGTATGGAAAGGGAATGTAGGAAGAAGGCATCTTCAATCCTGACACTTTGTCACTTGTGAAACTGTAATTTTAATATCTTGGATTTCAGCCAACTCAACATCTTCAAAGACTGAATCACCTCCAAAGTACCAACCACCACATGTAAGAAATACACAAGCAATGATGAATGAAACAGCTGCCATGAACACAGAACTCAAGCTAGAGAACTTCACATTAGCACCAAAAGGCAGCATACCACAACACAAGCAATGGTCTCCTTTCTCCAATTTTTCTTTCAGTCCAAAACAAGGAAGAAAAAATATTGCTGCACAGTTTCAATCAAATGCTGTAGATTTAGGAGACGCTCCACCAATTGAACACCCACAACAACAACATAACATTCAACCTTGGCAAAAACCTGAATTTCTCAAAACACAGCCTCTGAATGAAAACACAAAGGACAAAACATTAAAAGCAGAGCTGGAGTGGAAAATCTGGAAGTTGCAACGAACTGTGAAGAAAGTTATTGATCGCATGGCAGTGGATGATGCAGGGGACTACTCGCATGAGCTTGACCAAATTATTGCCAATAGCAGACTATCTCAGGAGTTTCAAGGAATTTCAGAAGTGTCCATTGTTTTAAAACTGTTACTGGACAAGGTGTTGGAGAAAAGCAAGTTTGACAGTGTGGCTGTGAGAGTGTGCACAATATTTAGAGGTACGTGTAGTAGTTATCTTAAGTTGATATACTGATGTACTTTTAATATTTTACAGATCTCTAGTCTGTTATATCATGTACATGTAGTGGATTGAGTGAAGGTAGCCAACTCAGTCTCATTGTTGGTTTTCTTTTCTGTTTAGACCTGGGCATCTTTGAGCTGAGTGATCTTATCAATAAAGTCATTACTGAGTGTCAAGGGGAATTAATGGAGGTAAATGATAAAAATGCTCTATAAGTAATGCTTAAGAACTTATCCAATGTTCTTCCATGCAGTGTTTGAAAACCACACATTACATATGCACATCAATCTTGTGTAAACATAGCCTACGTAGCTTGGCGGTTTTTAAGCAATTTGAGCACGCTAAGAAAGCGGCTTGCCACGATAACAAGCCACAAAGAGCCTGGGAGAGAGACAACTGAGCTGCTCGTTTTCACGGCTTCACTGCTTTGTGCGCTCATGCTCAAATTGCTTAAAAATTGCTTAAACTGCCAAGCTACACAGGCTAGTGTAAACACACCTTGAATTCCTAACCAGCTGTGAGGATAATTTTGCCTACCTGGTTTGAACATCTAGAGGAACGTTTTTCTCATAAAGAAGTTCAGTTCAAAAAGTTTTTCCTGCCTTTGAAAACTCAGTTGTCCTCCTGCTGAAAACGTTAATGAAAACCCTGGCGGCTGGCCACGCTGAAATTCACCGTTCTGGTTGCCTTCTATTTCTGTCAATTTTTATTTGATGTTTCTGGTGTTATTTAGCAATGTTGTGCAACTGACAGCCGTCAGAGATGTCACAGATTCTCAGCGTTTCTTGGGAAACTTTATTTGGAAGTACTAAATGAAACAGATTCCACTGGGTGAGATAACTTATTGTTATTTTGTTGTTAATATCAAGTGTGTGATATGCTGTCTAAAGCACTATAGTATTATGAAATCACTGATATAGAGGCAACATTCATGATAATGCCTGTTAAATCCTTACCTTTTTTCACTGTATGTTCATCAGCAAAACCTGGTCATCATAAGTAAGAACAAAGTAAGAACTTTATTTAAGTGTCAATGTATTTAGCCCACATAGGCTAATTGGGGACACTGTAATAACTCTACCTTAAAAAAATTTTCATTAATAGTATTATAAGATTCTCTTAAAAAATAAAAATTGAAATACTGGCAACTATGAAAGGAAGTAAAAGAGTAATTGTTTCCCTAAGAAACGTCTTAATTATAATGTATATTAATTAAAGTTTAACATTCTAAAATTCTATATCCTTGCAATGGGATCATCTATCTCCTTGCAATGGGTATACAATGTATGTATGTATGCGTGTAAGTATGTATGTATGACAAGGGAACGTTGTCTTTTTACAATGATCTGAGAAGAGGGTGTATGAAAACTTAGATTGGATGGCATGCAAAGCATAGCACATTAACAGTACAAAGGTTATTTCTAGCTTAATACCAAATGTGTCTTCTCCCTGTAGTTTTTTGGCTATATAGTACTATGTATAGTGTATATTATGCATATTTGTTTTGTATTTCTTTTTATATTATACATGTAGATAGGTCCCTGCACGCACTCTGAGTGGTCAAGAACCCATGTTTTATCAGAGTATAACACATAGAAAAAACGTGTGTTATTGTTTTTCGCCATATTACCTCTATATCATAAAGCAAGTGAAGAAGCCTAAGCCATGTATTACACTGTGATAAAACACTCCGGACATTTGAGAACACTCACGAAATGTAGAAAAAACTAGCCTGCAGCTCGTGTTTTCTACATTTCCCTCATGTTCTCAAATGCCCGTCGTGTTTTATCAAAGGGGTAATACACGGCTTACACTTCTTTATTCGTTAAATATTGCAGGTTAAAGTCATCAGTGGATGGTATTGTTGCACACAGTTTACACAACTGGCTGTCATTTGATCAGGTACATGTGACTGGACACCAGAATGTACTTGCATTGTTGACTTCATCCATGTCCTTAGTCAGTCAGTCTTAAAATCTGTGTTATAAAGGAACAAAAAGTTTGTTCAGTCAGTTTCTACCTTTTAAGTGATTAATACATGTAGTACTTGCAACAGTAATACTAACAATCATTGCTAACACCGGTACATTTACTTAGAACGGTTTTCAATTGAGTGTCATAGAGCAATTTTCAATTGAGTGTCGTAAAACCAAACCCAAGCCAATTACATACCAACTAGTTAGGCTACTCAGCCAATCTCAAACCGTAGTACAAGCAAAACCACTGCGGCAATTGCCTGATTAGTTTTGACACTCAATCGAAAAGTGCTCTACACTAATTACTAATAATTACTAAATGTTACTTACAACGGTTTTTTATGCATTTTAAATAGAGTTAGTGTACAGAATTACTGACAGGCAACTGAATTACCATAATTATGGTGTTATATTCACTGTCATGGTGATGATTATCGTTTTCTTTGTTATTATTGCATATTATTATATGGCTGTGTCTCACAAGGACTGGGAACTACCGAATTCACGAATTTGATTGGCTGAGATCGATATTGACCGCGGTCTAGATTTTCCCATCTATACCGGCATCTCGACCGATTACATTTTGCCGTGAAAAAGTTGCAAACTAAAAACAAATATATTGACTATTTTCTTCCAAAATATTAGTTCCAGAAAATAGTCATATTATGGAAGTACCAAGCCTGATGAGGAAAAAAGTAAAGAGGACGAGCAAACTTTAGCAGAATTAAGGTCAGCTCATCGCCGTTCGCAAGCAAAATGTCAGCTTGTACAAACCAGTTACATTAAACGAATTAATTTTTTTCTTGTTTGCCATATAATAAACATCTTATTAACCGAGCTTAGTCGATCTGTATGTGAGAATCTTGGCCTCGGTCGTGTGTACAGACCTCACTGCGTTCGGTCTGTACTCCCGACCTTGGTCAAGATTCTCCCATACAGACCTCCTGCTCGGTTAATAACAGCTAAATACTTTGTTGCAGTGAATGATGAAGGATTGTTAACAATACTTGTATTTTCTCTGTAGGATGACTCGGTTGAAATTCATATCCTTAATTCTGTCTGTCTGACTGGCTTTTTTAAAGTTACTGGACCAACAATAGACCAAACAGATGGGTAAGCTTGTACACTTAAGCGTGTTGATGTGTATTTGTGTTGTGTTTTGTGATGTGGAGAAGAAGACCCTTACGTTTGATCTTTGAACACAATGCCATTACATACCACAGAGGCTGCGAGTTGTGAATAGTATGGCTATAATCGGGTCGAAATGTAAACACGTCCTTACCAATAGAAGGAGGTTTAAATCTGAGGGTTACTTCAAGAGATTCATGTGCATGACTTGACGCTGTCTAGCTTTGGATAACATTCTGAAGTCATAACTAGCGTATACTTTCGAAAGTAACGACCCCCCGAAAGTAGCGACTCCCCGAAAGTTGTGTCAAATACTTGTGGCCGCTAATAAATCCCGAAAGTAGCGACCTCCCGAATGTGGTGAGCCTTCCGAAAGTAGTGAGGCCACGTCCAACCACCCCACCTCCGCGAAAATAGTGAGACCCAGGTTTAATAGTATATTTACTTGTCTAATAAATATTCGGGTGAAAGTTACGTATGGTAACTTGATTTAAGTTATTCTACAACAAGGGAAGATATCGCTTATGCCACGAAGCGTTGTGGAATGTTAATTCGTTCCACTTCATTTAATGTTGCGCCGTGTTAAAACAAAATCCGTAGAATTTTCATCAAGTAACAGGAATGTAATATAGGAAACTTTGATCCAATTTAAATTGAAAACTCGACCAGCGCACTGAAATGTTGTTACAGCAGACTAGCGCAGCAATGCGTTATGAAGTACAAACAGTTTGTGGTATCCAGCTAGCTTTTCTGTCGACCACTGACAACACGGTCTAGTCATGAAGCGCTCACCCATGTGGCAGCAATATAGATATAAACTGGAAGAACTCAGTCGTATCAACTTAATATAACGTTTTTGCTCCCCGAAAGTAACGAACAGCCAAAAGTAACGAGGGTCGTTGCTTTCGGAAGTTTACAGTATCATGTCACAGTTTCAACGTTTCTTGCAAGTCACCACCATTTTGTTCTGGCCACACTTTTGATGAAGTTTGATGAAGTGTTTTTTTTTCCTCTGAACTTCACACAGGAATGAGATTTCCAGATACTTTGCGACGATCAGGGACCTTGTGCTGTCGCAAGATCTAGCTCTGTGAGTGTACATTTGTTGTCTTGTTTCATTTAATTGTTGAAAATGTGTGAATCCAGAAATCTTGAATACAGAACATGCCCTCACCTTCATGTGATATAAAGTTAGTCAAACAGAGCTCCATAGCTTCAACTGCACGTTTGACAAGTGTTGTTGTTGTATTGCCTGTCAGAGCATCCAGGCATTAGAGAAATACCTAATGTTATCTGGTGTAGTAAAATATGTCACAGTTTCTGCCGGTAATCTAAAGAGGTTGCCAAGAGTTGGGAAGGATTAAAAATTTACCACGAAAACTACAATGAATATATTTACAAAATTGCAAGAGAAATATTGGGAACATCGCAGATAATTTGACAGAAATAGCTGGATGACTTTCATCGTTATATGCACTGATGAAATGAGCGTCCATTAGGTTTCACCCCCACCCCCCAAGTAAAATAATGTAATAGACTGGATAATTTCATGAAATATATAAAAAAATGTCACCCCCTAATTCATTGTTAATTTCCCTTTCTTTCCTAACAGACCAGTTAAGAGCACTTTGCTAGACATTCTATTGTTAAGAGCATCAGGCTGGAAGGTCGAAGACAACACGGACGAGCAGGAGACTGGAAGCTTGTCCACTGAGGATGAAGTGTTTATTGAAGCAGAGGATGATGCCACAGAGGTGCAGCCACAAGAGGAGACTGGAGACCAGGATGACAGTGAAGGTGAGTTAACAAGTAGCAAGGAAAATTTTATTTATCTTTCTTTCCCTGGTGCCTTCTTAGTTTCTTTGGCTGAATCAAGAAGTGATTGGAATTATAATTACCGTTGTTGACTGTTGTTTATCTCCTTTTGATATCTACAGAATGGGATCCTTATCGCAGAGTCAAGTCAATGTTAAGGAATCTCAAATTGCAAGATTTGCTACAAAAGTTCTTCGACAACTGCATTCGAGTGAGTTTTGTATGACCACACAAAAAAACTAAATATGTGATTTTCAAAAAAGAAAGACTTACCTCTGTTTCTTTGCAGGACTCTATTCTGACTGCAGATTGGGAAGAGCTGAAGAGAACTCTTCAGGTTAGAAAGTGGTTTTAAACCAGATGAAGCCTGCTCTATACTGAGAACTGCAGTTACAGCTATTTAGTAAGAGACTAGCTTTTGTAGGCCAGCCGTTAATGTTTTGCCATTTTGTATTTCAGGAAGCTCAGTTTCCTCCGGGTGTCATTTTGGAAATCAGAATGTATTTAGACAAAGGTAAAAGGGTTAACAATATCTTGATTCTTTCTAAGTAAAAATGTCACCGTAAGAAACAGGAAAGAATACACGTGATTGGCCAAAGAACTTAAAGAGAACTTCTCACAACAACAACGACAACAACAACAACATTTTCTCAATACCTTAGTGTGCTCTCTTCGATGGGTTAATATAGGTGCTTCCACAATAAGAATTAATCTAGATAGTTTACTGACGTGCTCACAATACAATTATCGTCTAGCGAGATGACTTTGGTGTCGTTTTCGGAGCTGGAACGTTCCTTTCTATCGACTGAATTTCTAGTTTTTATCAGTTACTCTAGTTAAGAAAATTAATGTTTTCGAGTGTTCAATTTATCTGTCTTCTATTTTCAAAGGTCTGTTAGAAAAAGATGTGCAAAAGCGTTCAGAACCTACCAAAGGCAAGAACACTGCACCATCCGCCACCATAACACAAGAACTGAAGAGCGCTTCAAAGTCTCCCTCTCCAACCAAAGCCATTGAGCATGGTATTGAAATCAATGAACTGAACCAGGAGCTTCAACAGCTCATGATCGGCAACAACCAAGACAAAGGAGGACAAACAAAAAAAATCAGCCCCCAGAGAGAACTAGCGGGACACGATGGAACGCCATACAGTAGGGGCGGATCCCGTAAGTTTGTCAGCAGAGCTGAGAGGAGGCGGTCAACAGACAGCCCTCAGGAGGAGGTGACCCATTCGATAACGGACCAAGCGGATGATTTGTTGGAGAAAAGGCCTCGATCTCCACCGCCTCCTGTCGAGCCCGTCAACTCACGCACCTCTGTAGAAACAAGCCCAGAAGATAAGACTGTAACTTCAATGTCGTATAGTGCTGTGCTTAAGAGCGCATCGCAGGATGCACCTAAAAGCGGACCTGCCAGTGCCAAACCAAATCCGTCCAAAACGTTTTCACGGCCTCCACCCGGATTTCCTCCTCTCCCTACTCATGGAGGGGACACAAAGATGACCATGACAGTGCTGGGCAACAAGACGAAGACAAAACCCCCTGGGCCACCGAGTAATACCCCACGAAACACCTCAACACAACCTAGCGGTGCCCCATGGAACACCCCAACACAACCTAGCAGTACCCCATGGAACACCCCAACACAGCCTAGCAGGACTCCATGGAACACCCCAGTACAAACTAGCAGTACCCCACGTAACACCCCAACACAACCTAGCAGTACCTCACGGAACACCCCATCACGAGCCGACTCCTCCACGAACTGGCGGAACGATTGCCGGGAAGAACAATTTTCGCAAGGTTTTGCGAGGCCCGCAAATTCATCCCAGCCGGGGCAGGCGAGGAATTGGAGACGGTTTGATAATACCGAAGGCCAGAGTAAATCCCCTCCCAAATCTGGAGGCCTTAACGAGGCGACTAGCAGGGAAACGCCGGTCGGGGTTATGAGCTCTCCAAATAGTGAGGAATCGCCAGAACCCCCACCGGTTGTACACGCGCACCGGGCATTCGGCCCTGGGGGATTGAAGGCGTGTGTTATATGCGGTAGTAAGGATCATCTACGGTGCAACGACCGCAGAAAAATGTTTATGGACTAAAGGGCAGAACTAACTCGATTCAAGTTGATATCGCGAAAATGTTCTGCATTTGATCCAAGGAAACAAGGAAAGAGTTCGACGCGTTGAGTACTAACATCTTGCGCAGTACTAGTTTGTGTTTCTGTTTCAGAGAAAAAAAGCAACCGAAACTATTCGGGAACCTCAACTGAGCACATGCCGAACATAGCACATGCGTGTTGTGGCTGAAAACTCGTGCTGTTTACTGAAGACAGGCACCAGCAGAAGTTTATCAGTTAACACCAAGCTGAGGTCGTTGGATATTATTTCTTGCCTGGCGATGCCATTCCATTCACTCAGTTACCGTTGCCGACAGTTCAAATCGAGTCCTGTACATTAGTGTTTTTTTCTGGGGAGGTGGCGNGGGGGTGAGTGATGCTTCTCCAATGGATGCTCGACTTCGTTCAGCATTAATCGAAGAAATGCGCCCGCGTGAGGGATTTACGTTATGCTTACATGTTAAAAGTATTTTCTAAAAACGTTATATCACATGTTAATTGCTCTCATGACTTAGCAGTTTGCTTGCCACCAGTCTGAAATGAAGGGATCCCATGTGTGGTGAATGTACCATTCATGTTGGTGGCCTAACCGTAACCGACTTGTTCTTTCAAGAGTGTCTAACATATTCCAACAACTATCATTTCAAGCCACAATCTAGGGTCACACCCAAAAACTTTTAAAAGGGATATGACACCATCTTATAACCTGGAGACAGTAAGTCACCATATTAGAATAACCCCAAAGAGTTAATATTGAGCTGACAAGAAAGAAGAATGACTCCGAGCAAGGAAGATTGAGATGGGTTGAAATTAACACACTTGAAAGATGTAGGCTAAAGTTAGCACCTAACACGGAGTGTTCAGTGGCCTGCTTAAAAACTGCTCTGTTTATTACGCAGACCAAATGAAAGTCATGAAAGTATTGCTCATTAGCTTTCAGTTGAATGGTATATTTCTAGAACCGCACGAAGTATATTGGGCAACGTTTGTAATGTTGAAAGTTATTCTGTTTTTGGACACAAAATTCAAAGGAAAATCTGTCTCTCTTTTTGGTCTTAAGTTGACGTTTTGTTTCGATAGCAATTTATTTCAAAATCAACCAGCCTAAGACAAAAGCCCTGTAATACATTTGTAAAATATTAAGAGATCAAGTAACTTCTATTTTATTCAAAAAGAAACAAAACTTTCATTTAGCTTGTTTGTGTATGTGAAACGAAACGGTCTTTCGTATTTCAGAGTACCAAGAATCAGCCATGTTTATTACATGGTGTTTATAAACAACAGTCACGTTACAAGATGTGAAGTTTATATGAAGTAATTCATATATGAACTGCGGTTGTAGATGAAAGTGAAGAATGATCATCGCAGTTAATTTTCCAATTTAAGCAATTGGANCCGTTGAAGCCCTGATTTTTTCAGGCTTCTTCTTTCCAATTGCTTAAATTGGAAAATTAACTGCGATGATCATTCTTCACTTTCAGTTACGTTACAGTTTGAATGACTACGATTTACAAATTAACAGAATAATTTCGGCAATAAAATTGATTTTAAAACGCGTGCTCAGGGGAAAGACTAAATCAGAAGCTCTACCATTTCAAATAAAGACATGAAGCCCGTTAATTAAACGGAAAGCAGAACGAGGACCCCCTGAGTGTTCCATGGGAAGGACAATTCATGACTTTTCTGATGGGAAGGGGATTGAACAATTATCTGCTAATTCTGATACGTCAGTTGTGTTTTCACTTGCTAATCGCTATAAGCGTGTTTCTCTCATGCAGACTTTCTATGTACATCAGGACAACTCACTTAGCTTAACGAGACTCAGTCTCACGATAAAATGAACACGAATTAGGGACGAACCATTATTTTTTTAAGGCTGGAAGGGTTGGGCAATTCTAAAAAAGAATTCCTGCACAGCAAAAACTGCTGAATAAAAACATCGTGCAAGGGGAGCGATGGGAAAAACAATCGAGCAAGTGCTTTCTACTTACCAGGTCCTGTATTTGATTCTTGCCCAAGCTATTGCCCACCAAAACGGCTTGCACAACCCAAAGGAGAGAAAAAAATATCATGCGCCAGATAACTCAAGTCAAAAGCTATCAAGACAAACGCGCTGTTCCGAAAGAACGCTTACCCTATTTTCCAAGGCTTGTCATATTCCAAAATTGGTGTGAACGTCCTTGTACAGTGTTACTCTAGTTTGTTGGAGTGCTTAAAACTACTGAAATGATTCCGGATGCCTAAAACCAAATCGGTTAACTGAAGAGGCCAAAAGAAAGAGCATGTAGAAGTG